GCTTAGGCTACATCAGATACAGCTGTTCCACTCAACTATCTGTGCTGTAACAGGGTCTTGCCTCGAACCGCCCCACTCCTGCGTTTTCCTGCAAATTGCAGTGTAGTTCATTGCCATCCTTTTCTATTGCATGCATTTACTCCTCAAAAGCTTCTCTGTGATGGCATTGTTTCAAAAGTCAAGAAGGTCTTTGTAATTCAGATTAAAGACACACTAGAAAACACAAACACATATGCTTGCCCTATGTTTTGCTGTCAGATGAGTCCCGTCAGCCGGTGATCCAACTCAGGTCTTGCACATGCCTACTCAGAAGCAACGGAACCCCCCCCCCCATCTGTCACTATTTTGGGGGGTGAGATGAAACCACATGCTGGGAAAATTCAGGTTGTGTGATTATAATGGATCGGCTGGTCTTCTCCTGTATACCTGAAGGAGCGTCTCCACCCCCCACTGAGGTCCAGCTCCGAGGGCCTTCTGGCGGTTCCCTCATTGCAAGAAGCCAAGTTACAGGGAACCAGGCAGAGGGCCTTCTCGGTAGTGGCACCCACCCTGTGGAACACCCTCCCACCAGATGTGAAGGAAATAAGTAGCTATCCTATCTTTAAAAGACATCTGAAGGCAGCCCTGTTTAGGGAAGTTTTTAATATTTAATGCTGTATTGTTTTTAACATTTGATTGGGAGCTGCCCCGAGTGGCTGGGGAAACTCAGCCAGATGGGCGGGGTATAAATAACAAATTATTATTATTATTATTATTATTATTATTATTATTATTATTCCATTTCACCCACAAGACTGGACTTTTCGATAAGGAATTGATGGGGAAGTGTACTCCATAACGGTTACTTAAATCACCTAACCTCCAAATCAGGAAGCTACCGGTATGCAGAACTGGCAAAATTAACAGCACAATTAAGAGAATCTAATGATGAATGTTTTCTGGAAGAATGGTTTTCTGAAGTACTTAAAGAAATATTATAGTATGATGAACCCGAGAGCAGGATTTGAGCTAAGAGCAACAGAAGTAATTAGATTATAATACTGTGGTTACGATTTAAAAGACAGAAGGGAAGAAACCACAACTCCTTGGAAACGGGGTGGGAAGTTGATAAAACTAAGAGAAAAGACAAAATTGTGATTCGATTGTAAATGTTAAAAATGTTGAAATTTACTAAAATATAATTGGGGGAAGGGGACGCGGGTGGCGCTGTGGGGGACGCGGGTAGCGCTGTGGGTAAAAGCCTCAGCGCCTAGGGCTTGCCGATTGAAAGGTCGGCGGTTCGAATCCCCGCGTCGGGGTGCGCTCCTGTCGCTCGGTCCCAGCGCCTGCCAACCTAGCAGTTCGAAAGCATCCCCGGGTGCAAGTAGATAAATAGGGACCGCTTACTAGCGGGAAGGTAAACGGCGTTTCCGTGTGCTGCGCTGGCTCACCAGATGCAGCTTGTCACGCTGGCCACGTGACCCGGAAGTGTCTGCGGACAGCGCTGGCCCCCGGCCTATAGAGTGAGATGGGCGCACAACCCTAGAGTCTGTCAAGACTGGCCCGTAAGGGCAGGGGTACCTTTACCTTTACTTGGGGGAAAATAATCACCTAACTTTCCTGCAAACCAATCGGAATGAAGGAGTTTGTTGACGCCCAGGAAAGTGGGTGCAAGTTTGCTTTTCCGCTGGTAGCTATGTTACCCTGCTATGTTCCAGGGACATTAGTTAATTTTTTTTCTTCAAAAAATTTATTGGTTTTTACAATACTAACAACAAACAAAAACATAAAATGAAGAAACATAACAAACATAAATCATAACCTTATTGAAAATAACAGTTATTAACTTTGTAAAGCAACTTCCTTGTTTCCCCTTAGTTGAATTTCATTGCAAATCCTTATAACGGTTTTCCAAAACCCAGTTTTTATACACTTTAAATTGAACATTAACATCTTTAAATCTTCTCCTTATCATATTAAACACCTTATTTTATCAGTTAACATTAATACAATCCTAAGCCCATTAAATATCTGGAAGCTATTTCCGATTGTTGTTGTTGTTGTTTAGTCGTTTAGTCGTGTCTGACTCTTCGTGACCCCATGGACCAGAGCACGCCAGGCACCTCTGTCCTCCACTACCTCCCACAGTTTGGTCAAACTCATGCTGGTAACCTCGAAAACACTATCCAACCATCTTGTCCTCTGTCGTCCCCTTCTCCTTGTGCCCTCCATCTTTCCCAGCATCAGTGTCTTCTCCAGGGAGTCTTCTCTTCTCATGAGGTGGCCAAAGTACTGGAGCCTCAGCTTCACGATCTGTCCTTCCAGTGAGCACTCAGGGCTGATATCCTTAAGAATGGATAGGTTTGATCTTCTTGCAGTCCATGGGACTAAGAGTCTCCTCCAGAACCATAATTCAAAAGCATAAATTCTTCGGCGATCAGCCTTCTTTATGGTCCAGCTCTCACTTCCATACATCACTACTGGGAAACCATGAAAAACCGATTAGTTTAGCTTAACAAATTTAAACAAATCCCCCTCCCACTAATCCAGGGACATTAGTTAAAGGGCAGGACATTTGCATGAAGAGGAAGCTCCCTTCTTGTCTGCGGGTTTAAGAGAGTTCTGAGAGGGTTCCAATCAGAATCTGTTTTGCTTCAGGAAGAATCTCTGCTCCCCCCACAAGATGCTTCGAACAATTCTTCTCCTTTTCATCCTTGAGTCTATAGGTGAGGGACATGACATTGATGCAAGGAAGAGAGATCCCCTATAGAAACCTTGAGTTGTCTAATGCATGGGTGGGGCACATTTTTCAGCTTGAGGACCACATTGCCTTCTGCAGGACCTTTCAGGGGCCACATGGCTGTGGTAGGTTAAGCCAGAGGCAAAAGTGGATGTGAACTCTGAATGTTTTGTACAGCAAAGATCAGAGGTTCTCTCTCCATCCAGTGAAGTGAGAGGAAACCTCCTAGAACACATTCCAGCCAAGCAAAAGTATTCGAGGTGGACGGGGAGCAGGACTGGCTTGGGAAGGGCCCTGAGAGGCATTGAGGTCCACCTTCATCCCCCAGTCCTGAAGGTTCTCTTCCTTCCACTAATGCAATGCTTGCAAATGTTTGGTGTCACCGTTTACTAAGTTCTCCCCTGCCTCATTCCCTTCCAGGTTCCAGTGCCCAGCAGCTGCAGCCCTTGAAGTCCTCAGAGACTGTGCCTCAAGGTGGGACCATCACCTTGTCTTGCAGACACAGTAGCGGGACAATCACGGATGGCCTCTACCCGCAGTGGTTCCAGCAGAAAGGAGGGCAGGTTCCACGCCTGATACTTTACCAAACCAGTACCAGGCCGTCTGGCATCCCAGCCCGTTTCTCCGGGTCCAAGTCAGGAAACACAATGTCCCTGACCATCACAGGAGCCCAGGCAGAAGACGAAGCTACGTATTACTGCTGTGTGCTGCATCCAGGGGTGTCTTGCACAGCTGGTCATTCAGATGGGGAAGTGAGGCAAAAACCCTTTTAGCAGAAGCTATCTAGAGTTATTGGGACACGGGTGGCACTGTGGGTTAAACCACAGAGCCTAGGGCTTGCTGATCAGAAGGTCGGTGGTTCGAATCCCTGCAATGGGGTGAGCTCCCATTGCTCAGTCCCAGCTCCTGCCAACCTAGCAGTTCAAAAATACGTCAAAGTGCAAGTAGATAAATAGGTTCCCTCCGGCGGGAAGGTAAACAGCATTTCCATGCACTGCTCTGGTTCGCCAGAAGCGGCTTAGTCATGCTGGCCACATGACCCGGAAGCTGTACGCCGGCTCCCTCGGCCAATAAAGCGAGATGAGCGCTGCAACCCCAGAGTCGTTCACAACTGGACCTAATGGTCAGGGGTCCCTTTACCTTTTATCTAGAGTTACTGCTGCACTCAAGTCCAGATTACTGGCTTCCCACAGTCATAGAATCATGGAATCATGGAATTGTAGCGTTGGAAGGGATCCCAAGGATCACCTAGCTCAACACTCTATAATGCAGGAATGTGCAGATCAAACCTGCAACCTTGGTGTTACCATCAGCACCCTCTAATCAACTGAACTATCCAGTCATCTGGTTAAAGGTGAAGGTAAAGGGACCCCTGACAATTGTCCAGTCATGAATGACTCTGGGGTTGAATTCAGCTCACACTTAAGGGCAGACCTACCCAATTTGCTCTTCCCAAAAACAACACATGAACCGCCACACGGCCTTCCTTTGAAATTTGCTGCTCTCTGAATTTCACAATGCAGTTCTCCAGCTGAGTATAACTGCAAGAAAATGCATTTGCTAGGGCAAAGTGTGCATTTTTAAAATGGCAGATATTAGCGAACACAACATTAGCATTGCATTATGTGAGGGGAAATGCACACACACACACACACACACACACACACACACACAGACAGCATATTAGGGAAAGTGCAAACAGAAAAATTCACGGATGAATTTTCAAAGGAAATTTTTTAAAAGTCAGAACAATGTGGAATTGTAGAGAATTGAATGGAAAAATGGAAAAATGAAAAAGTGAGACTGACAGATCTGTCTGTTCCCACTGCAAAGTGGGAGTAATATCTACCTAGGGTTGCCATATTTCAAAAAGGAAACGTTGTTGAGCTTTTTTTTAAGGAATACCCAGAAATTGTTGGGATGCAGAACCTCCTTTAAATATTATAGTGGGTGTGGGGAATCTGTGTCCCTCTGGACATTGCTGAACTACAACTCCCATCATCCCTGGCCATTGCCTTTGCTTGCTGGGGCTGATGGGAGTTGTAGTTTGGCAACATCCCAAGGGCCAAATATTCCCCACACTCACTTTAATATGTAAAGCAGGTTCTGGATCTCAGCCACAGCAAAACCTGGCTGCTCCTTTAAATGAAGCCCTGTATCAAATAACCTTCAGGACCGGGACCCCACAGCTCAGAAGTGTTTTTAAAAAGGGAGATGAATGCAAAAGGGCAGTGAGGGCAAGGGCAGTTGCTTCAGGGCTTGCACTGCACATGTGTCAGGAGCTCCACAAACCTACTAATTTGGCAGCTGCTGTGGACAGCTTTCATTTGTGATTCAGTGTGTTGGCTTTGCTGTCTGCTGGGATACCAGGAAGGAGGTGGAAGTCTTACAAGATGGTGAGCAAAGGGCAGGGACTAAGGGGGACTTTTGCATAGGGCTGGAGGGATGCTGCCAATTTAAGGCCCCCTTTTCCTTAAGGAGGGGAGCGTGGTTTTCGTGTTCACAGCTGTGCCAGGATTCTAGGGAGAACTCTTATTCTGAGGCCAGAGGAGGTTCCAGGGCTCTGGCTGGGAAAGCCCTTTTCCAGTGCCAAAGTTTAGCTCTTCCTAAATAATACCTTTGAGTGCAGAGAATCTCTCTCCTACAGAAGAAATCATCTGCATGCTTACCTTAACACAGAGCATTTAAAGTGATGCTTAAGGGTCTATGTAAAATGGACTTCTTGATCTGGAAGCCTCACTTCCAAATGCATTGATGGGCTGCGGTTGCGAGCAGGCTGTAGCTATAGGGGTGTGTGCATGTATACTCTGCACATGCCCAGAGACTTGTTTCCTCTTCCTCCTCCTGCGTCGCATTCAATACAGCTCTAAAGTCAAGCAAGAGAAGGCTTAGATTATGGAGAAGGAATTCCAGGTTGTAGCATGTGTTATAATACCAGAGACTCAGCTAGCTGCAGAAGTGACTGCCTCCGTTTTCTCTTCCTGCTCTACTACTTGCAAAGAGGCAATAAGAAAATTATGCACAGCTTCTGGGTCGATACCATAGATCAGGGATGTGTTCTTCCAGATCCCACCAGACCATTGGGCATGCGAGCTGGGACTGATGGTCGCTGGAGTCCAATAACATGTAGACCTCGCCCTTCAGCCTGAGGGCCAGATGCGGCCCTCTAGACATCTTTAGGTGGCCCTTGGGCCACACCCCTCACTGGTCCTGCCCTGCGTAGTCCTCTAGTGATTACCTATCTGTCTGGGGTGTGTCCTTGAATGGCAACCATGCCTTTGGTTTGCCTGTATGGAGAGTGGGGTGGGTTTGGCCACACCCACTTCTGCCACTCTCACCCATTGAAGGCCAACAGTAGGGGGCGCCAGAGCCAATGACAGAAGGAGCCAACTAATTCTTGTTTAGTCCCCATCTTCCTCCCTGTGGAGTTGTACAATGGCAATACTGAGATTGAGGGGAAAGGTGGCAGGGAGAACCACCCCTTGGACTGGTTGAAAGTAAAAAGTGTTATAAGAAAAATACCTCTAATTCCCTTATGGAGTATCTAGAGGCCGTATAGAGTCCCTCAGGAGATCTCTATCAGTCGGAGAGAAAGCAGAGGCCAACCGGAGTACAAAATAAACTGTTGCAACAGGGTCCCCACTCACCACATGCAGGAGGGAGGAGAACCCCCCAAAATTGTGCGCAAGCTCCTATACAGTGGTACCTCGGGTTAAGACCTTAATTCGTTCTGGAGGTCCGTTCTTAACCTGAAACTGTTCTTAATCTGAAGCACCACTTTAGCTAATGGGGCCTCCCGCTGCTGCCACGCCGCTGGAGCACGATTTCTTTTCTCATGCTGAAGCAAAGTTCTTAACCCGAAGTACTATTTCTGGGTTAGTGGAGTCTGCAACCTGAAGTGTATGTAACAGGAGGTATCACTGTAAAGACTTTTGAAATTGCCCACCCTGTAGCCCAAGACCACCCTCCCAAAACATCATACATGCATCACAGAAGGAGGTGGTCTCCAGCAGAAATTTGAGAATGTTGCTTCTCTCCTTTCTGCCAGGATACCTGACAATGCCTTAAGGTAAAGGGTAAAGGGACCCCCAACCGTTAGATCCAGTCACGAACGACTCTGGGGTTGTGGCGCTCATCTCACTTTACCGGCCGAGGGAGCCGGCGTACAGCTTCCGGGTCACGTGGCCAGCATGACTAAGCTGCTTCTAGCAAAACCAGAGCAGCGCACGGAAACACCTTTCACCTTCCCGCTGGAGCGGTACCTATTTATCTACTTGCTCTTCGTGCATTCGAAATGCAAGGTTGGCAGGAGCAGGGACCGAGCAATGGGAGCTCATCCCGTTGCGGGGATTCGAACTGCCGACCTTCTGAACGGCAAGCCCTAGGCTCCGTGGTTTAACCCGCAGCGACACCCGCGTCCCTGATAATGCCTTACTTGACTGCATTTTCTGGGTAGCCTGGCCATTCCTTTGAGATGGTAAATACTTTAGTTCTTGAATCTTTTACACATATTAATAGTGTGCTCAGTTTAACAGATACTTGCTAGACTGTATTTGCAGGGAGGTGCAGAGGCCCCTCCAGTCCAAAGACAATTGGAAAGCATTTCCCATTTCCTTCCTCCTGGCAGAGAAATATTTGAGTTCAATTTGGGAGAGTCAAAATGGCTTGCTCTCCTATACTATTTTGGACACGTGGTTTATATACTTATGTATGTTTGTTTGCCTTGTACAATTATGAACATTTATTCTATATTTGAGACCTTAGAATTCTTATAACAAAAGACAGGCAGGGGATGATAGGCTGAGGTTAGTGGAGCAGCGCCCCAAAGTTTAAACCTCTATTGCATTAGAATGACGTTCCTTTGGGGTTCCCCCCAAGCCAGGCATAATAATAATAATAATAATAATAATAATAATAATAATAATAGTAATAATATTTATATCCCGCCCTCCCCGGCCGGAGCTGGGCGGCTAACACCAGTAAAATTACAGTAAAAACATAATAGGAAAAAAACCCAATTTAAAATACAGGCTAAAATGCAATTTAAAATGCAGCCTCATTTTAAAAGTAGCCCATAGATCAAAACCATAAGGGGAGGGAAGCATAAGGGTCAGACTGAGTCCAAACCTAAGGCCAGGCAGAACAGCTCTGTCTTTCAGGCCCTGCGGAAAGATGCCAAGTCCTGCAGGGCCCTAGTCTCTTGGGACAGAGCATTCCACCAAGTTGGGGCCAGTACTGAAAAGGCCCTGGCCCTAGTTGGGACCAATCTAACCACTTTATGACTTGGGACCTCCCTCCAAAATGTTGTCATTTGTAGACTTTAAGGTCCTCTGTGGGGCACACCAGGAGAGGCGGTCCCGTAGGTACGAGGGTCCTAGGCCGCACGTGTCTTTTGAGCTGCAAAAGGTTCCTTTACCCAGCCCTAGAGGCTGTCACATATACAGGGAAAGGGAGAAAATCTATGAAATTCTGTGTCCCTCGAGGGGTGCTGCTAATATCGGCAACTAATAAACCACAGGCCTCTGAAATTCAGAGCGTTAGCCTGCAATCCTAAACTCACTCGTTGGAGAGACAACTGTCATGGCGCTGATTGAGACGTCCCTCTGTGCCACGAACACACACAGGATCCCAGTTAAGAGAGTCTTTCTTGAGTACATAGTTGACTAGACTCAGTTAAGATTGCACACATTCCTTTCATTGTCATGTGATAAACTCACACGATTTTGGCAAGTCTTTCCTGGTAAGTGCATACATGTTTGCAGAACTGGGGCGATTAGAAAGATAAAGCGTTGATGGAACAATGCCCCAGATTTTGCCATTTCTTTGGTTTTTGTTCTAGCAGGGAAAAGGGCTCCAGCTGTTCCAAGAAATAGTTTGTAAAGTATAAGTACTAGGACCAGAACACTATCTCTGTGAAAGGTTAGGGTGGAGGGTGATGTTGTGAAATGTTATATAGTCCCCGCATTAAAAGTCACAGGTGGGGGGAGAACTTTGACTTTTGCCCATCTTGAAGTTTATGATAAATTTCCTTTTCCTTTTATTTACCAAAGCCTTTTTACCTGCTCTTCTTCCAAAAAAGGCTCCCAGAGCCACTTTCGTAAGATCCATATTAGGTGAGATAGATACACAAGGAAGTGGGAATGCGGAGGGAAGAGGAAAGCAAGCGAACTCTTGAGGTTATCAGATTCTTACAATGACTGTCCCCAGCACTGTGTACTTGTACCTGGGTTCACGTGTGAACAAGCCTAAAGTCTAACATTTTTTGTTGGCGTTTTTGCTTCTACTCTTCCCTCACCGGGCTTGAAAAAAACCACCAGTTGGTGCTGGTGATTGGAGACCTTCACATTCCACACCGATGCAACGCTCTCCCGGCCAAATTCCGGAAACTCCTAGTTCCTGGAAAGATCCAGCATATCCTCTGCACGGGGAATCTATGTACCAAGGAGACCTACGATTATCTACGGACGTTGGCCGGGGACGTCCACGTGGTCAGAGGGGACTTCGATGAGGTAGGGGCACAGCTTCAAAACTTTGTTACTGGCTGCTGTCGCAGGACCCCCCCCCCCATCATTCAGTTTGTACAAACTCGACACACACACACTCACACACGACATACGCTACGCTTCTGTTATAAATTCATAGAAAATCAACCATACATCGGATCTGCACCGTTCCACTTTTATTTTACTCCATGAAGGAAGGACTGCAAAATGGGGAAGGTTTGATACAGGGCAGCCATAATCCCTTGAGCATACCAGCACATACACAGGAGCCCTGCCCAGTTGCTATGCCAACCCTGATGGTCCTAGACAGAAGACCATCAAGATCACAAAGAACTTGCATATGGGAGCGGATTCAGCATGGTCTGGAACAAAGGACAATGATCAGCTCTTCCCTCTGGGGGCAGGAAACTGCCAGCTCCCCTTTGTCACCTGGAAAGTACTCATGGGGAGGGGGAAAGGAGGAACCAGCCAGGTGACAGGACACTCAGGTTACCACCACAACTCCTCCCTCAACCCCTCCTTTTTATGATGTAGTTATGATGTAGTCTTAGGGGTGTAGTTTGGGGGATTAGTAACTAATAAAAGTTGGGGTCTTCTTTTGTATTGGGCTTCCATTTAGTTTCACCTGGTGGCAGGTGGAAGTCCTGTCGCGACAGTGTTCAATAAAGACCAAGCCTACTGGCTGCTGTTTTGCCCTGGTATTCCTGGCTAGTGTCCTTGTTTTTTTGTCCAAGGGAGCCCTCGGATTTCTCCGTTAACACTGCCAGTCTGGGAAGATGTAAATGGGCAGCTCCTCGCAAGTCACATTTCCACCGTATGTCTAAAGCAGTGTTTCCCAACCGGTGTTCCGCGGCACACCAGTGTGCCGTGAGACCTTGCCTGGTGTGCCGTCGAGAGAGAAAGAAAAGGAGGCGAAAGAGCGAGAGAAGGCGCCTGCGCGGAAAGAGGAGCGAGCCGTGCGCCTGCGCGCCGCGGCGCCCGAGATCGCTTCTCCCCACCGCCCCTTGCTTCAAAAGAGGTCCGGGGACAGCGGGAAGCGCTTCGCGCTGCCCCCGGACCTCTTTTGAAGCAAGGGGCTGCGGGGAGATCGCTTCTCCCGGTGCTCCGAAGCGGGGCGGGGGGGCGGGAACCTGCAGCGCGGAGCGCGGGGCGCCCTTTGGAGGACGCCCTGTGCTTCGCGCAGCTGTCCGCAAGCCTTGGGCGCCTGGGGGAACTCCCCCCCGGCGCGCAAGGCTTGCGGGCGGCAGCCTGCAGCGCGGAGCGCGGGGCGCCCTTTGGAAGACGCCCCGTGCTTCGCGCAGCTGTCCGCAAGCCTTGGGCGCCTGGGGGAACTCCCCCCCGGCGCGCAAGGCTTGCGGGCGGCAGCCTGCAGCGCGGAGCGCGGGGCGCCCTTTGGAGGACGCCCCGTGCTTCGCGCAGCTGTCCGCAAGCCTTGGGCGCCTGGGGGAACTCCCCCCCGGCGCGCAAGGCTTGCGGGCGGCAGCCTGCAGCGCGGAGCGCGGGGCGCCCTTTGGAGGACGCCCCGTGCTTCGCGCAGCTGTCCGCAAGCCTTGGGCGCCTGGGGGAACTCCCCCCCCGGCGCGCAAGGCTTGCGGGCGGCAGCCTGCAGCGCGGAGCGCGGGGCGCCCTTTGGAGGACGCCCCGTGCTTCGCGCAGCTGTCCGCAAGCCTTGGGCGCCTGGGGGAACTCCCCCCCGGCGCGCAAGGCTTGCGGCGGCAGCCTGTAGCGCGGAGCGCGGGGCGTCCTTCGGAGGACGCCCCGTTCTTCGCGCAGCTGTCCGCAAGCCTTGCGCGCCCAGGGGAACTCCCCCCGCGTGCACGGCTTGCGGGCGGCAGCCAGCAGCGCGGAGCACGGGGCGCCCTCCGTAGGAGGCTGCGGAGGGTGGCGCGGAGCTGCCCGTGCTCCAGGGCTTCTTGCAGCTCCGCGCCACCCCCGGATCCCGGTGCGAAGCCGCGCGGGGCTGCGGAGGGTGGCACGGAGCTGCCTGCGCTCCAGGGCTTCTTGCAGCTCCGTGCCACCCCCCGATCCCGGCGCGAAGCCGCGCGGGGCTGCGGAGGGTGGTGTGAAGCTGCCTGCGCTCCAGGGCTTCTTGCAACTCCGCGCCACCCCCGGATCCCAGCGCGAAGCCGCACGGGGCTCTGGAGGGTAGCGCAGATCTGCCTGCATCCCGAAGCCTGGTGCGCGCTGAAGAGCGCCCCCGGGCTTCACGCACCTCTCCGCAAGCCTGGGGAGACCAGTGTGGCTCCCTAGGCTTGCGGATATCAGGCTGTTCTGGGGGCTGGGGTCGGGGGAAGCTTGGGCTTCCCCGCGCCTGCCCCGTGCCTGGGGAGGGGAAAAATTTTCTTTCTTTATTCTCCCCCCCAAAAATTAGGTGCGTCTTATGGGGCGGTGCGTCCTATGGGGCGAAAAATATGGTAGTCAATATAGGCACAGAGTTAAATTTTTTAACATTTTCTAATGGTGGTGTGCCTCGAGATTTTTTTCATGAAACAAGTGTGCCTTTGCCCAAAAAAGGTTGGGGAAACACTGGTCTAAAGCACTGTGATACCCCTTTAAACAGTTACGGTTTCTCTCAAAGAATTCTGGGAGCTGTAGTTTCAGGGTGTCGAGAGTTATAAGGACTCCTTCACCTGAACTACAATCTTCAGAGTTACCTGGGAAAAACCACTTTGGGAATTGCAAGGGGAATAGGGGAGTCTCCTAAAACTCACCCTGAACAAACTAAAGCTCCCAGAATTCTTTGGGGAAAGCCACAAATGTTTAAATGTATGGTGTGGCCTATATAATAATGTGCAGCCCCCTCCTTGAGAATTATACCTGGGGGTGGGAGGAGAGACTGCTTCCTCCATGTACCTGTGCGGGCAGCCACCCCCACCCTTGGTACAATGTACAGAATCTTTTCCAGTCCTAGTAAATTAGTGTAGTGTTCAATGGTGATGAGACAACAGTTTCTCAGGTTGGAGATGCAAGATGCCTTTTCCTTTCCTTTTCTTCTAAAAATTATATTAAATTTCTGTTTTACATTTTAGAATATTCAATTAAGTAACCTTAATATCAATGACTTCCCTTCTCTTCCATGGTACATTTTGCAGATCACAAATCCCTGCATATTTTACAAAAACCAAACCATTCCGTATTCCATTATTACACCCATCAAAACTTATTTGCACTCTTGAATTTATCTTAAAGCTGCCCATGTTTTCAAAATACACACAATTTCCTCCCATATATTCAATAAACATTTTCCAATCTTCTTTAAAAGTATATTCTTCTTGTACTCTTATTCTATATGTTAAGTCTGCAAGCTGTGCATATTCCATCAGTTTAAGTTGCCATTCTTCTTTAGTTAGGACTTCGCTTGTTTTCCATTTTGGGGCTAACAAAACATGGGCCGCAGTAGTGGCATACATAAATAACCTTTTCTGACACCTGGGAATTTACGTCTGAATTATCCCCAACAGAAAGGACTCTGGGTTGTTGTTTTTTTTAAAGTACTTTTAAACATTTCCCCCCCAATTCATTGTGAATTATTTCCCAATATGCCTTTTTCCAGGGACGCGGACTTATAAAAAATATTGGGGGGGCCCGGGAAAGCTCATGAATAATAAATAAGCTCATGAATATGCAAATAAAGTGGCTCCGGCCCTAAATAGGGCAAGCCACGCCCCCCCAGCCAGCCGATTGGCTGGCTGGGAGGTGTGGCCAGTCGGGATTCCCCTGTTCTCGCGGGGGCTGAAACCGCCAGGAGGAAGGAAATTCCCCCCGGCAGTGCCTTGGCAGTGGCGGTGGTGCTGCGAAGCAGCGAGGCAGGAGCCCCCGCCCCCGGCGCCCGAGATTATTGGGGGGGCTGAGCCCCCCCAAAAAAATTTTTGAGGGGGCTCGAGCCCCCTCAAGCCCCATGGAGTCGGCGCCTATGCCTTTTTCTCAAGATTTAGCTCAGAAATAAATACACTAGAAGGAACCTGTGTGTATTTTTTTAAAAACAAAGGGGTCTGACCTTGTATTGTTAATTCTGACCTGTGCATCGGTTAACAATTAACCACCTCCTCCTTTTCCTTTTCTTTCTTCAGGGAACAAGTTACCCGCTGCAGAAAATAATCCTGGTCGGGCCATTCAGAATCGGCTTGATCCATGGCCATCAAGTTATTCCCTGGGGCGATCTGAACAGCTTGGCCATTTTACGCAGGCAGCTTGATGTGGACATCTTAATTTCAGGACATACACACAAATTCGAGGCTTTGGAGCACGAAAACAAGTTATACATCAATCCAGGATCAGCCACAGGAGCTTACAATGCCTTGGACAGGTGAGACGGTAGATCTTTCAGCTGATTCATCTAGCACAGTATTGCCTATTCTGACTGACAGCAACTTTCCAGGGTTTCAGGCAAGGTGTCTCTCTCAGTCTTACCTGGAGATGCCAGGAATTGAACCCAAGACCTGCATTGTCACAGAAAAATCTAGGTGTGAGGCTGCTCAGTCACCCAGCTCGTTGGGCAGAGCCCGCGGGTCCCTGCGGAATAAAGAAAGGAGCCCAGCCAACCGGAGCAAATAGCTGTAGACCAAAGTTTATTGCGCAATAGGTTCAAAGAGCAAATTTGAACCCCGAGGATGGGGCGACAAAGACTTTTAAAACTTTCCCACCATATCCCAGAATACAGTTCGTACAGCATCATTGCTACATCACTGACATGTCACAAAAAGGGAGGGGTTGACCTTGGCAAACATGTCCAGACAAGTCCTTGGTACAAGATTAGCATAAGCAGACATGGCAGGGCAAGACTCAAGCATAATATTAGCATAGACAAATATGTCTTAAGTACCCACCACCCAAAAGTACAATAGAAGTTCCTTTGCATGTCTGGAGCCTGAGGCGAGTCAGGTGATGAGATTTGGCTTCCTTTGGCTAATAATGAGCCCAGCAATTGTCACCTCTGGGAACTTCCTGAAGTCCTTTTTCAAGGGGAAAATAGCTTTGGAATGGAGGAAACTGGGAAAGGAGATGATTTTATATTATTTTTAAAGCTAGGTGACTTCCCTGAGCTGTCAAGTTGAAAGGATACATTCAGGCATAATATTTGTAATATTTAACTTTAAAGATGTGCCCCCGCCCCGGTAATTTCCGTAACAGCATGCAAAGCAGATGCTCTATCCTTGAACTATGGCTCAGGTCAGAGGAATCCATGAGGGAATGCATAATATGTGCATTTGTGAAATGTACAGTGTATCCTGGTTCCCGAACAAATTGGCTCCTGAATGCCGCAAACCTGGAAGTAAGACAGAAAATTATATATCTCCTCCAGCAGTGATGTGCATTCTTTGGGGTCGCTGGCTTAAGTTTTTGATTGCTTAGTTCAGCATTTCTTTCCCTATGGTTTTAGTTTAAATGGTGCCTGCCTGAATTGTGATATCTTTGTAACTCATCCTGAAAGTATTTGATGAATGGTGATCTATAAGCATAAACAAATAAACAAACAAACCAATGGGAAAGCCCAGAAAGAACCACCCCATATATAGCAGATCGCCCTCCTTCATTTCTGGCAACACTTTCAAGGGGTCTTTGTGATCAATTTCATGATGTCAGGAAACTGGACCAGCACCGCCCCCTAGAGGTTGAATCCAGCTTAGCAGGCATCCGATAAAGAATGTTTTATGCTAAGTCTCTTCAACCTTTTTCAGCTCCAGATGCAGCTCATAAGCATCCATCTAGGGACCCATTTCTTAGTCTTTCATCCTATATTTGCATAGTGTTGGTGCTCATGTTGTGAGCCACCTTGGATCAGGATGTGAACCTCTGGGGGTTCCAATCCACCGTGAAGGTTTCATAGGAAAACGCTAAAGGCACAAAATTAATCAATTTTCATTTAGGCTTATTTGAACGGGAGAGTCCTGCACACATGCATCATACTCTCATCGAAACTTTAAAGTGTTTAACTTTAACTTTTTGTTTTTATTTTTAATCTATTAAATTCCTATACCATCCTTCATCCAAGGATCACAGGCAACTTGCAATATTTGTGTGTATCCTGGAAATATATGGTTTCCTAGTCTATTTTTTATTTTAATTTTTATTGGAATTTTATTTACAACATAACATAACCCCCCACCCCCAATACACAAATCCACCCTCATTAAACGTGAACATAACATACATGAGCATAGCATACAACAATACAAATAAAATAAAAACCAAATAAAAGACTTCCTTTATCCTGTATCTGGCCTCCTTATTTACATCTTATAAACTGTTTCCTTTATGAATAATTATTAAGATTTTTCTAATTATAACTCAAATATCTTAAAGTTTCCCATTCTAGTAGCAGCATCCTTTCACATCTGTAGGAGATTTATACTAGGCCAGGTGATGCGGAAACGTGTTTGTTTTCTATAACAAAGGATTCCCACATTTCAACCTGTGCATGTGGTCATATCTTCCAGAAGGAGGTGAGAGTCATAGAACCAAAGAATTGTAGGGTTGTTAAGAGACCTTACATGTAAGGGACGTGGGTGGCGCTGTGGGTTAAAGCCTCAGTGCCTAGGACTTGCCGATCGAAAAGGTCGGCAGTTCGAATCCCCGCGGCGGGGTGCGCTCCCGTTGCTCGGCCCCAGCGCCTGCCAACCTAGCAGTTCGAAAGCACCCCCGGGTGCAAAGTAGATAAATAGGGACCGCTTACCAGCGGGAAGGTAAACGGCGTTCTGTGTGCTGCGCTGGCTTGCCAGATGCAGCTTGTCACACTGGCCACGTGACCCGGAAGTGTCTGCGGACAGCGCTGGCCCCTGGCCTATAGAGTGAGATGGGCGCACAACCCTAGAGTCTGGCAAGACTGGCCCGTACGGGCAGGGATACCTTTACCTTTTTAAGAGACCCAAAGGGTCATCTAGACCAACCCTCTGCAATGTTGGAATCTCCACCAAAGCATCCATGGCAGATAGCCACCCAACCTCTGCTTGAAAACCTCCAGTGAAGTAGAGTCCGCTGCCATTCTGAAGAAGCCCATTCCATTGTCAACCAGTTCTTTCTGCCAGCAATTTCATCCCGATGTTTAGTCAGTATCTACTTTCTTGTAACCTGGAGCCATTGGTTTTGGGGTCCGACCCTCCGGAGCAGCCTAAAACAAGCTTGCTCCATCCTCCACGTGACAGCCCTTGATGTATTTATCAGGCTAAACATATCCAATTCCCTCAACTGTTCCTCATCAGGCTTGGTTTCCAGACCCTTGATCATCTTGGTCACCCTCTTTTGCACACGTTCCCACTTGTCAATATCCTTCTTAATTGTGGTGCCCAGAACTGGACACAGTACTCAAGCTGTGGTCTGACCAAGGCAGAACAGAGCAGTACTATTACTTCCCTTGATCTGGACACTATACTTCTGATTATACAGCCTAGAATACTATTAGGTTTTTTTGATGCTGCATCACACTGTTGACTTATGTTAATCTTGTGGTCCACTAAGACCAAAGATCCTTTTCACATGGTGTCCCCCATCTTATATTTGTGCAGCTGGTTCTCCTTGCCTAAGGGTAGAACCTTACATTTGTCCCTACTGAAATTCATTTTGTTAGTTTGGGCCCAGGTCTCCAATCTGTTAAGGTCCTCTTGAATCCTGATTCTGTCTTCTGTGGCATTAGCTACCCCTCCCAGTTTGGTGTCATCTGCAAATTTCATGAGCATCCCCTCAATTCTTCATCCAAATTGTTTATAAAGACATTGAACAACAGGCCCGGGTCACTTTATTCCAGATGTTGAGGAACCATTAGCAAGTGCCCTTTGGGTTTGGTGTGTCAACCAGTTGAAAATTCCCCTAACAATAACTTCATCCAGACTATTTTTGTATGCCACTACAGCGGGTGGCACTGTGGATTAAACCACAGAGCCTAGGGACTTGCCAATCAGAAGGTCGGCGGTTTGAATCCCTGTGACAGGGTGAGCTCCCGTTGTTCGGTCCCTGCTCCTGCCAACCTAGCAGTTCGAAAGCACGTCAAAGTGCAAGTAGATAAATAGGTACCACTCCAGCAGGAAGGTAAACAGCATTTCCCGTGCGCTGCTCTCGTTCACCAGAAGCGGCTTAGTCATGCTGGCCACATGACCCGGAAGCTGTATTGCCAGCTCCCTCGGCCAATAAAGCGAGATGAGCGCCGCAACCCCAGAGTTGGTCATGACTGGACCTAAGGGTCAGGGGTCCTTTACCCTTACAGCAGCAAGACTGCTATTAGCTAAAAATTGGAAATCTCAAAAAATTCCAATGGTGGAAGAATGGCAGATGAAGATGTTGGATTTTTTGGAGCTAGCCGACCTGACTGGAAGAATCCGCAACCAGAAAGAAGAGGAATATCAAGAAGACTGGAAGAAATTTAAGGACTGTTTAATTAAATACTGTAATATAAGTAACTAGAAGTCACTTGAAAGTACCAAATAGGCCTAGGATTAAAATAAGATTGAATTGTAAGTAATTTGGATTTAAAATATTAAAAAAAGAAAAGAAGATAGTTAATTGGTGGAATTAATTTTAGTTGAAAAATGATATTGGAGAGCTGTTATAAGGTGATACAATGAAATTCAGATAGGAGGGATCCGAGGAAGTCAATTAACAATGAAAGATAAATTGGGTTTCACAGGTAATATGTGTTTAATTTTTTTGTTCTTCTTTTTCGTATTGTAATGTGTGTTTTTTAGGGACGCGGGTGGTGCTGTGGGTAAAAGCCTCAGCGCCTAGGGCTTGCCGATCGAAAGGTCGGCGGTTCGAATCCCCGCGGCGGGGTGCACTCCCGTTGCTCGGTCCCAGCGCCTGCCAACCTAGCAGTTCGAAAGCACCCCCGGGTGCAAGTAGATAAATAGGGACCGCTTACTGGCGGGAAGGTAAACGTCGTTTCCGTGTGCTGCGCTGGCTCACCAGATGCGGCTTTTGTCACGCTAGCCATGTGACCCGGAAGTGTCTCCAGACAGCGCTGGCCCCCGGCCTCTTGAGTGAGATGGGCGCACAACCCCAGAGTCTGTCAAGACTGGCCCGTACGGGCAGGGGTACCTTTACCTTCACCTTAATGTGTGTTTTATTTTGTGTGTTTTTCCTTTTCTATGTTATATTGTTATAATTGGGGGGGGGGGGACAATAACTTCATCCACCCCACATTTTACCAGCTTCTCCTCAATATATCATGGGGGACGTTGTCAAAAGACAAAGAAGTTTAGTTGCGCCATAGAAAATTCACACCTGGATCTCAGCACAGATCTGTTCCTGAGGATTTCACTCATTCTGTTACCTGGGGGGTAAGTGAGGAGCAGGAGGAGCAGGCTGGACCAGGCCATGGAGA